GTTGGTCAGTCATTTGTAGATCACCCGTGGGGTCTGCGCAGGGTGGTGCACAAGTATGCGATTCATCCATATGATCCTGGTCAGCCATTTGCAAATCCCTCGTGGGGTCTACGCCATGTGGGATTAAATGCAGTCCAAGCAGATCATGTTCCAGTCCCTCAGCGTTCGGGACCACACAGGGTGGGGCACAAGTACGCGGTTCATCCATATGATCCTGGTCATCCATTTTCAAATCTCTCGTGTGGTCTATGCCTTGCGGGGTTAAATGCAGTCCGAGCTGATCATGTCCCAGGCCCTCAGCGTTCGGGGCCACATCGTGAGTAGGAACTGTCGTTGGGAGTGTACTCTGGGCAGGGACCATATCCTGTTGCACAGCTGGGGGACAAACRAACATGGAAGGGCATAAAACATGGTGTCGTGGCTGTGTGCAAGCAGCTGGACTGTCTGCAGGAGGCATAGGAGCGGATGTATCCGTTTGGGACAACGGAACCGCAACAACCCGTGAAGGAGGCACAGAGAGAATTGGGGTAGACAAAGAAGCAGGCCGCTGATCCCTAGCCAAGTGGCGATCTTGTGCATGTCGTCGACGATGATACACAATAAGAGGAGTGGCGATGTTTCTAACAGAAGATGTCACTGGCAATGAAGGCRGAACAATGRKAAGAATAGAAACCGGAGAATCGGTTCTCAAACGAGACCGTGGAGGAGATGGGGGTGGCGAGGAGGAACGCAGCCGTCTGCGGCCAAGCACAGAAAGGGATGAAAGGGGGGTGGATTCGGCAAGATGTCGGAACATAGAACGCGAGTGTCGGGCTGGGGTAGAGGAAGCTATACCAGTAAAAACTATAGCATGAGAAATTCGAGGTACAGAAGCAGAGGAAGTGGTAAAAAGTGGAACCGCAGCAGAGACAACTGTTGTAGTAGGAACCGCAGCAGAGGCAACTTCCGCAGCAGGGACCGCAGCGGAGGCAACTTCCGTAGCAGAAACTGCTGGAATGAAACCCGGAGTTGAAACAGCAGCAGTAGAAACTGCAGCCATGGAGACCACAGCGGCAGCAGCAGTAGAAACTGCAGTCGTGGAAACCACAGCGGCAGCAGCAGTAGAAACTGCAGCAGTGGAGACCACAGCGGTGGAAGCGGTGGCGGTGGGAACCGCAATAGTGGGAACTGCATTAGCAGCAGATGAACAAGCAGTGACAGGACGAGCAGCSGAGGCAACTTCYGTAGCAGAAACTGCTGGAGTGAAACCCGGAGTTGAAACAGCAGCAGTAGAAACTGCAGCAGTGGAGACCACAGCGGTGGAAGCGGCGGCGGTGGGAACCGCAAAAGTGGGAACTGCATTAGCAGCAGATGAACAAGCAGTGACAGGACGAGCGCGATGTGGGGATAAAGAAGAAAGTGGGTGATGCAAGGACCATCGCAGCATGCGTCGGAACCACTGAGAGAGACGGGTGACGTGTGTAGGATAGCGACGTTGGCGGGAGCTCACTACTGATAAACCAGACACAAAAAAACTCTGCCGGACTCAGATATTAGCTGAAAAACGGGTCTGCTTTGGAACAAACGCCAACAGTAATCTTTACTATTCAACACAAACCGTTGATGTCAACGACCTCAAACGCTGTGGTGTCGAAGCTCCTATGCCGAAGCAACGAACCGTAACCCCGCTGCTCTTCCGCAGAAAGCGCTTCAACAATGGCAGTATCCTTCTCGGACGTGCCGAGCACTGGACGGAACCCGCCGTTGCTACATTTTTCGACCTACCCAACACATGCATCTCCCTTGCTCTCTCCTTTTCTCTTTCTCCCCATCCTTTTCCCTCTCTCTCTCTCCCTCGTTCTTCAGGCATCTAATAACTTCGCTGATCTACTTCGTGTACCTGCCCCCATCCGTGGTGACCACTTTTTTTCGCTAGTGAATATTGCGTGTCACTTTCGGTTATTCAACTTCGTCCTTGGATTTCGGAGGAATGAGCGCTGCGTCATCATCTGGAGCAGGAGTGGTAATTGGTTTCTCGCCCCTCAACCCCTCTTCCCCTCACCCCATCACTATTCTTTCTATCTTCCCCCTTGATATTCTCTCTCCCTTTCCGAACGACAACTCGAAGATACTTACTCCCCCTGACTAGCCGATCCGGTGGATATCGGTGAAAAGATCTTTGGGTAATTTCCACCTCGACAGTATTGAGCCGCTTGACCGAATTGGGATTTCTTTTGCCTTACTCCCCTCCTCACCCTGATGCATGACATTACTTCACCTCTTGCTTGTATATGCTTTCTGTGTGCCTTTTGGGTTCTTTTCGGGCTGTGGTTGCATGATGGAGCATGGGTAGGAAGTACTAGGAACTTTTGAAGATTTCTACTCTGAAGTAGCCGTCCAAGACATGGAGTCACACTTTTTCGAACTCGGCATCGTAGCTCTACTCACGTTATTCCAAGCGTACATGGCATTTGTGTCGACCCTCGATATCTCTCACCATCGCTTTTTCTGCTGCTGCAAGATTCCTCTTCCTTTCAACACTTCTGTTGTGCAGACGATTCAGCGGAGGTGTCCTGCGTAAACGCGTTCTTTTGATCTGACCACCATGGATATCTTTGGATGGATTTCACCACCATGGATATTTTTCGATGGATTTATCGTGGGTTTATCTTCTCAGGGGTCATCTTGATGAAGGCCCTTTGTGCCATGGCTGTCTGCACCGCGTTCGAGTCTTCATATGCTTCTACTCCCATGCAGTTCTGCACCTGTCCTGCTTGCCCCCCTCCTTGCGGTCCATCACCCTGTTCGTCCGCGCCCCATGGATTAATCCTCCCCCTCTGCGCTGTTTCTCTGGCCTATGCTTTTTGCGCCTTAGCCTTGCTTTGATTAATGCTCTGCAGGATGCTACCAATAGTATGAGGCGGCGGGGGGCGTGATGCGGGGGCATATTCCTGCACTTGGGGGCATACGATGTGAATAGGAAATGATACAGAGTGGACAGGAGGGTCTAGTATGCGAGCAGGATCTTGCTTACTTTTGAGTATGACGATCGGAGGAGTGATAAACGATTAGCATGGCGATATGCGATAGTCTTCCAGTATCACAGAATCACCCTCATCTTTTTGTGGAAATAAACGATTAGCATGACGATCGGAGGAGTGATAAACGATTAGCATGGCGATATGGACAGGAGGGTCTAGTTCGGCATGTATTTTGTGCTGATGTCTACACAGAATCACCCTCGTCTTTTTGTGGAAATAAAGCTGTTTCATTTGGAAAGTCGCCCAGTATCACGTAGAGTCGGCACTTGCCGGTCATCAACCAGTAGTCGGTGTCAGGAGGGTGCCATGAATTATCGGATATCATGTGGCCATGGGAATTTCACATGCTCAAATGCTTTCATCATCTGCTTTCGTTAATCAGTCGGAATATGGAAACTTGGTCGTAGAAAACGAAGGCGAAACTTGCGAAGAGGGACCGTGCGAAGATCCTGGCTCTCGATTGTTGGCTTCGGCTTTGTCGCGCTGTCCCTCTCTGAATTTGACATTGAAGTACTTCCAGTAAGCGGTGTTGGGTTGATTTGTTAGTTATTCCGCATGAGCATGGATACATCAGGAGGGAATTATGCTGATCGTCCGACGTGCTTTTTCAATCAACATGAAGTGTAATTTCATTTGGTTTGAGGCATATTTTTCGGCAAAAGAGGAAGGATACCTGATCTTATGTTTGCTCTTTTTTCACTCCCTCATCCTCGCGTCGTTCTTATTATTTTTAGAACGTGTTATTTCCTGAATCATAATGAGTGCCTGAGTCTTTGCATCAGGTATAATAGTAATTTCTCGAGTAAATGAGAAGGCTAAATAGTAAATAGTAAATTTATAGTAATTTCTCGAGTAAATGGGAAGGCTAAATTTATCTGTTACATATCTCTTGCTGTGTAAAAGTATGATGAATAGACTGCTTTGAGGCATGCCCTGCCCCCAATTCCTGTGAATCTCTCCCCTTCATGTCTTTGCTAGGCCTTCTCTTAAGCATGTAGGCCAGATCTACCCCCACTCGGTTTTTATCGTGAATCAGCTGCATGCCGTAAATCTCGGAGAGGGGATCGAGAGAAGGAATCTGAGCATTTTTATTGACTCAAAACGGGAAACGATCAGGGTAGATTCATGCGTGGATTATATGATTTGGTTGGCCTTATTCACATGCATTCCGAGTACGACTCGCGGCGATTCACGTTGCAGTAGCGTCATGATTCATTAAACACACACATACACACACATATACAGTGTCACACACACACACATACAAAAGGTAAAGGAGAGACCCTCTCATTCCAAAAATATATATCACAGGCGTATTTTGCTGTGACCAACGAAAAGAAAAAGAACAATAATCTCAGACACAAAGGAAGACGAAAGTTCGCAGACTGTCCAGCTTGTTGGCTAGTACGCACCTAGAAAGAATCCAGAAGTGTTTTCCCCTGCACACCCAAAGAATCGTGATGATGATGATGATGATGATGATGATTGGCAATGACTGTTGGTGACGATAGAGGAGACATCAACCACAAAGAACTCGGGATTGGTTGTTGGATTTTCATTTCTGACGATAGAGAGAAGCTCATCCTTCCTCAATCTCTTCCAGCCATTCAACAATCATTCTGTATTGAGTCTATTGACTGATGACTGATTAACAGCTTTGATAATAGATGGACACAAAGTGGTGGACGGAATAGATACTACTGCCCACTTGGCAACTGATACTCTGATTTAATGCACACATAATCCTTCCCACTTGCCACATGCGCGTTGTACGATTACTTCGCCTTTGTCGGATCGATGTTTTGGCCATACAAGCTGATCGTGCTCACTGATGTCCGGTACCTGTATGCAGAGAGAGAGAGAGAGAGAGAGAGAGAGAGAGAGAGAGAGAGAGAGAGAGAGAGAGAGAGAGAGAGAGAGAGAGAGAGAGAGAGAGAGA